TAACTGAACAGTTTTAAAAAATATATTTTTCTGGACAGTTTAATTTTATTTTAAATAAGAACTATTGGGTGAGCAAAATATACTCATCCTAATATTATTAGCCGCTGTGGAACACTGCAGGTTTCAGATGCTGGCTTTATTTACCAAAAGTTGAGCGATCATGTAAGTGCTGATCGCTTAGCTCGTGGTCTACTCCCTTTAGCGAGCATTCAGGGTCAGTCACTTCTCCCTGCAGGGATTCCCCCTCCTGTCTCTGTTCCTCCAGCGCTCATTAGAGAGACAGACGGACACAGCTGGCTCTAGATAGGCGGATCCAGCTGTCAGTCAGGCAGCAAGGTGGATCCTGACAATATTGCCGTGATCTTTCCTCGTGGCAGTGCAGCTCTGCACTCTCAGCATATAGTAGCAGTAGCCCACTATATTCTGACTTTGGGTTTCAAGAGTGCATTTGTAAATATTCTCCTGTGACCCAAAAGAGAAGTAAAGACAAAATAAGCTTTAGCTTACTTTTTTTTTTCAGTGTGTTTATTGATAGATGTTTTTTTCCCCATTTGTATGGAGTTCTCATTCAGCTCTTGTTCTTTTTTCTGTAGTTGGCACTCCCCATTACTGAGTGAACCTTTTCTGTAGCTGATCTTTGTTCCCAGAATGTCACTGTTCTGTATATAGGGGACTGTTAGTGCAAGGCTTTAGCAAAGGACAGGCTTAGGCCACAATGGTGGTTTTTAATGCTTCCGCTGTTTGGCAACACGCAGTTAAGTGCTCTAAAACTGCAGTGATTGATATTGGTTGGTGTAAAGTTCAGCTCTGTGTTTTGTTACCAGCTGTAGGGCCTGAATTATGGATTGAAATGTGAACTGCTGGAAACAGTGAGAGCTTTGTGTTTCCCCTCCATCTGATATTCTAAGAACTTTTCCCTTGTTTTTTAGCTCTTAGACTTTGATAAGTAGGAACAGAGAAATTTTGGGATATACTTAAATCTGCCTTTTTTTTATTTGGATGAGAAGGCAATATAATTTTGTTTATTGAACTGGGAAATATTAGATTTTTTGCTTAGCTTTTTATTTTGATCTTTATAGAAACAGCTGGGCACTGTTGGCGAGTGTTTAATAGAGTTTGATAGTTTTATCTGGCAGCTCTCAGGAGCAGAAGAGATGGATAAGCTCTTATCTGTTTTGCAGAATGCGATCAGTAGCTTCTTGAAGTTTATTTAGAGGAGATACAAGTTACTAGAAGAAAAAATAATGCATCTGTAGTCTAAGATTTGAAAATTTAATTTTTGGTTTTATATACCCGAGTATAAGTCGTCCCGAATATAAGCCGAGGTACCTAATTTTACCACAAAAAAATGGGAAAAAGTATTGACCTGAATATAAGCCGAGGGTGGGAAATGAGGTAGATAGATATTAATAAAATTACATGAATATTTATTTAAAAGAAAAACAATAACCTAGCTCTGTAAGTGGAAAAGGGGGTACAGGGCTACATATCATGCACTACGGATCATTTAACCCATTCAAAGTATTTTTATTTTTCCCTATGAAATGAGTATAATAGACTTTATCGGTTTGCAGTAAACACACCGTTGGGAAGGAACATATTTATCATAAATCTCTTACAGAAGAATGTACTGCTAAATGTACATTGTACAAGTGAAGCCCATGCCATGCTTTATTTAGTTGAATCAAATAGTTTCTAGTCATGTATTCTATGTACTGCATGCATAATTCGATCACATTTTTAAAGAGAATGTGCAGCTTTTGGTATATGTTATATTAGGCCAGAAAAAAGTAAAAATATATTTTCATTTTTAATTGATCTTAATAGCTCAAATGTGCATACAGCTTAATGATTTAGAGGAGAGAATTCTTCCTGATCTCTTCCTTCTCTTTTCATGTAAGTGACAACAAAGATTCAGTCAGAGAGAGAATCTGAAAGCAAATCGATTCTGCTGTGCTCTCTCATTAGGAATCCCATAATGCTCTATGACACAGCTACACAGCTACAAGAATATGTAAAACAACATGTAAAAATATGAATGCAAACCAGCAGTGTTTTACTTTTAACAGTGATTAAAAAAATATATCCGCTCCTTACAGTTGTTTTGATTTCTTTTTCTCCTAGTATATAAATAGAAAGTTCCACTTCGGGTCCTCCTCTGCTGACTGACGGACACAATAGCCAGCCTGCTATTGGCTACTGCCATTTGAAATATCCAATAGCAGGCTGACTATTGCTACCGGCCTCTGGTTTGGAGACCCATGGCGGCCGGCAGCAGGGGCACTGCAGGGGCGACGGCATGGGGTGATACAGACTCTCAGGTTGCCAGCGGTCTCTCCTCACAGGCTGTAATTGGCTACAGCAATCTGTGTCCCCTCTGACACAGACCACTGCAGCTGATTACAGCCTGTGAGGAGAGACCGCTGACAGTCTGTGAGCCTGCAGCGGGGAAGAGAACAGCAGAGTCATTGTGGCAGCAGCGCGCTTTTGTCAACAGAGGTGACAAAAGCCCAGGCAGCAGGATGCAATTTCTAGCTGCATTGGTGACCTGGCACCTGGGATTTGTTGAGCCCTGTTTTAGGTAGTTCTGTGATTAACACCATAACATTACAGGAGGACCTGGATAGAATAGGGGAGTGGGCATTGATGTGGCAGATGAGGTTTAATGTCGATAAATGCAAAGTGATGCACTTTGGAATTAAAAATAAACAAATGGGTTATACAATTATGGGTATGCCGCTAGGGAAGTCAGAAATGGAGAAGGATTTGGGGGTCATTGTAGACCACAAACTGAAAGGTAGTTTGCAGTGCCAGGCTGCTGTAAACAAAGCTAGCAGGGTCTTGTCCTGTATTAAAAAGGGGATGTATTGCAGGGACAAGTCTATAATTTTGCCACTTTATAGATCATTGGTTCGACCTCATCTGGAGTACGCGGTCCAGTTCTGGTCACCAGTACTAAGAAAAGATGTCCTTGAGTTGGAAAAAGTCCAGCGAAGGGCAACCAAACTAATTAGGGGTATGGAGGACCAGAGCTACGAGACGAGGCTACTAAATTTAAACATGTTCACATTAGAGGTGAGGAGATTAAGGGGGGATATGATTTCCATGTACAAAATGTTTAATGGTGGTAGCAACATTAGCGATAAACTGTTTAAAATTAACTCCGTTACAAAAACTAGAGGCCATCACCTAAAATTGGTGGAAAAAAAATTCCAGCACAAGGGGCGAAGGGGGTTCTTCACAGTAAGATCAGTTAGGGTCTGGAACTCACTGCCACAGGCGGTGATTTCAGCAAATAATGTGGAATTGTTCAAGAAACTTTTGGACGATTTCTTAAGGGACCGTAATATACAGGGGTACGGGTACTCCTAGAATGAGATCCTAATAGGTTGGACTTGATGGACTAATGTCTTTATTCAACCTCAAATACTATGTAACAAAGACTCCACATAGAGCACTTGTCCATGCAATGTACTGTACATGAGAGCCATACATACATACATTGAAATACATTACAAGAGCAAAATAAACATGAATTGGATAATTCTCTGATGTCCATGTGTATCCCCACCATCAGCAGGGAATTTGTAGCAGCTTGATGATATATAAAAATAGGGACTGGAATATGAATGATCAATAATGGCTCATCTGTGGTCCTTTTGTAACATTTCATGGTTTTTTATTTTTTGTCTGTGTACTGTTCTAAAAATCAGCCTGTATGTCAGATGCTTTCAAACCTTATCTAAGTCCCCACCAATGTCATGGTACCATGATGGTAAGCTCTCATGGGCAGGGCCCTCTTTACCATCTTGTCTTGATTTGCATTGTAACTGCAATATCTTCCTTATATTGTACAACACTGAGTAAACTGTCGCTATATAAATCCTGTATAATAATAAGAATATCTAGTAGTAGTTAGTCACAGCCAAATAAATTATCTAATTTTAAAATGTTTTCACCAATTATCTGATGGCTTCCTCAGCTTTGATAATTTATAGCCACACGGGTAACTCAATCACCTTGATCCAATCGCATTTAATGTGCCAAGGCAGATGTTGATTTTCCAACAATATGTCAGGAGGTGTGAACAATTCTAAAACCGCCCTGTTATAGCATAATTAAATAACCACGGTGCTTTGAAGTCTGAGACAAGTGTTAAAAAGCAAACCTTTCCTGAACACACACAGGGACCGCCATTGCCAATCCCCTTTTGAAGATGCTTGCTGTCAGGATAGTTCAATAAAGTTTTTAAGTCAATGACTGTAACAATTAGGTATATCTGTAAAGTTGGACATCCTTATTTCCATGATTGTTCAAAGTAAGGAACAGAAAGTGTTAATGAAAGAGGGAAAGAATAACAGCCATGAAACTAACACTTGCAGAATAGGAATTAAAAATTGTCTCCATGTCTCCCTCAATTGTCGAGTCAAAGGCATAGTCCACCTTTTCAAAAATGTAATAAATGCATCCACAGTAATATAATAAAAATGTAAATTTTATTAATTATTGCATTGAAGCTTGCAGACCATTGCAACCTTAATCAGTACATCATGTACACAATGCACCGGCCCCTACAACCCCAGCCCAAGGTATATATGGAGGCACCAACATTTTGTTATGAGGCTGGAGGAAGTAAACACTGGACTGCAACTGTGTTGACATCCATGGCACTTTTGCTTCATTGGGATCTACAAATCTGATAATGTGGCAGATGGGACTTTAGTCTTTCCATTCACAGATCCCTGTGAATGGATGATGTGGCTGTGGGGGTGGAGACATGTACAGCCACGCTAAATTCAAAAGAAAACGGGACGTTCCAGTGAAAAGCACGGTAGCCAAGTGGTGCCTTTTTAAATGGTAAACACTGGGCAAATAGGTGAACGTATTTGGTTGCTCTGGGCATCATCTCCACCAATGTTTTTATAAAGCACCTCAGTTAGACTGTGAACTGTAGCCTGTTACCTGAAAACGCACTAATTCCCTTTTTTGTTTTCTTTCAGAATGTTGTACCAGCTGAAGTGTCTCTTGTTTGTGTTGTAAAGCCAGATGAGTTCTGGGATAAGAAAGTGACACACTTCTGCTTCTGGAAAGAAAAGGACCGACTAGGTTTTGAGGTATGGGGTTTTTTTTTTTCCCTGAGTATTTTAAGAAATCACCACGCACCACAATTTAAGGCACATGTGCTGTGATGTGTTGCAGTGTCAGTCCATTTGCACCCGCTGTAATTGTGTATTGCGGTGCAATTCTGAATTAATGTAACTGCAGAACAGCTCACAGAGTCACTTGTGGTACCACTGCTGTAAAACATACTTTACTGCAATGGAAAGGTCTCAAGGGGGCCTGAAGGCCAACTACATTTTCACTCGCCTCCTGGATCTCATCACTCACTGATCTAAGATATGTGCAAGAGGAGGTTTTTGTTAGTTTAGGGGGGAGGGCCGCTCTGCACCCTGATAATGTATCTCTCTGCAACCCAGCACCCCAGAGACTTCACCCCAACACCCCAGACACAGCACCTTTCTGCCACTTCATACTCCACCACTGCTTCCTGTGTCCCTTATCCCCCTTTTCAACTTTACAGGGGCATGCAGAGAGGAGAGGCTAAGCTTGGTACCTCTGAGTTCTCTGGCCACCTACTCCTCCCTTTGGTGACATCACCTCCTTCCCAGTTCAGCCTGTAGAGGCCAGCCAGTCCTCCGGCCTCTGGCTGGCTGTACACATTTCTGGGCTAAAGGGTACAGGGAAGCCAACCACTGAACCTGCCCACCATCTCCATTGTTATGGAACCACCTTCAATGTGGTAGCCATTTTGTCGAGGTCCAACATCCAAATGTATTCTTTATTTCTTTTACTTTTAAGTTAAGCTTTTTATTGGAAATAAAACACCCACTATTTATCACCCCTCCCTTCTAAACTATTGAACCTGCTATTATATTATTATTATTATTTTTATTTATTTGAACATGCAATCTTTACATCAGGCTGAAACTAGTGGAGAAAATGAAAATTCAATTTTACTTCCTGTATTCTTCTTTTACAATAAATATGGGAGATATATACAGTATGTGTGCAGAAAATTTTCCGTTTGATGAAATAGGTCAAGTTTCTTGGTGTTTGAACTATTTGATTCCTTTAAACTCCCTAATCCTATTAGTTTGAATTCCAGCACTGAATATATGTATTTACAGCTCCCTGGCAACCTACTTTCATATATATAAGCTGATTTCAATGTGTTTTGGCCTTGCTGAGACTGCAAAATAGTCTTTTTCTTTTTTTTTTTTAATGACTGACAGCAGAGATCACAAATTTTGGAAATGCATTTTCCTTAAGCCTTCTGATGACAGATTCATGTTTTTCATAAGGATCACAAAGACATTAATAATTTGTGCAGAAAAGCACTGCAGTGCAAACATGCCTAAGAAAATCTTTCTGCATGTCTTTTTTTTTTAAAATATCCTACTGAAAACAAATGATGTCAAGTGTTAGTAACAGTATGCTGCAGATGTGCTATCCTGTAATGGCGTTTAAAAGGACGGGATTTAAGAGGCCTGAGAGTTCAGAACCTTAGAGTTTCTAACCTAAGCCTTTAACCAGATGTGGACATTGGGCACGTTACAAACGGCCCAAAAACGTTATCAAAGTACTTGGGGCTTCTGTAGTACTCCCTGATATTCTGCCCCTCTTTCAATTTGCCCCCACCTGTATTTGCCAGCCATTCTTGGCTTCTAAAATTACAGGCCAGAGATACAAAGTACCATTGTTACTTTTGTATTTACTGATAATTTGCAGATCAAACCAATAATATTTAAACCTTTTTGTTTTTATTTGTTTTGTTTGTTCATTTTTTTATTAGTGTTGCATTTATTAAAAAGGCACTTTAAACAGGACAAAGCATAGAACAAAATTTAAACTTTATATTTTCAGTTCTACGCTATATCGAACACAGTAGAAAAAATTGTTTTTTTTTTTTTCCCCTGTGATTGGTAAAAATCTAAAATACTTTCGGAAAGACAATTCATCAAAAGAAAGCTCCATATGGTGTGTACCAGTGTAAAAGCTGAAATGGATAAAGTGGTCCTGTCTTCTACTCTATCAGAAACGAAAAGTGCTGTCCAGAAAAGCCTCTTCAGTGCAATGACTTGTGGCCAAGGGCAGGATGCTATGCAAGACACTTTAATAAGTTAGGAGTTGGCAAGTTGGTGGGATTAAGGCCCTAAGCCAAATCAGAGCTAATAGTAGAGAACATGTTCACTTTAAACTTTCTCAGCTAGCCAGAGGGCAGTGATATTGAATCAGAACCGTGCCACATTACCATATTGGTGGCATGTTGCTATAGTCAACATTATCCCATGTTGCCGTTTTTTAATTTGTAAGGTGAGCTTTAGTTACTTTTGATAAATGAAGCCCTGATGCAAAATATAATTTAAAAAAACATGCTGTAACACTTTTCAAAGCATTTTGTCACTGCTAGTTAAGAAACTTTTTTAGGCTTAACAGTAGTGAACCAGATTCTGCAAAGAAAATGACAATTGGCATTATAACCTTGCTAATAGGAATGTGCAAAGATCAGGGGTGTGCAGCTAATCAAACCATTTGTTTCAGTTTTAATTATTAACAGTTGTAAGATCAGGTAAATCTTTCAGATTCTGTATGACAGTTTGGCTTTGATTTTGAGTACTTAAGTCTGTTCTCTAAGGAAAAAGCCATGTTCGCTCCCAAGAGATCCTCTGTGTACAGTATATTTTAAATTGTGTACTCTTCCCCAACTGATGTGCACTTATTATTTTATAGCCCGGAGTTGTGATGAGCTACTATGAAGGCCCTTTCTTGGAGATACCTATTCTGCTCTGTAAACATACTTCAACTTTTGTGTATTTGCCCTACTTTTCAGTTTTTCACTCATCTGGATTTCCCCAGTTGATAGATTTTCCAAAGAAAAAAATTAGAAGGTGGACCCATATGTGTTACTTTATCAAAATCAGCACAACTGCGGCTTGTAGGGTTAATTCTCCAAAGGGTCTTTCCTTGCAGCCATTTTGTTGCAGTGTTTGTGCCTGGTTGCCAAGCAGTTCAGGACCAGGGTCTCTGTCTGTATGATCACCATATAATTCTATGAAGCTATCAGCAGGGAGCCCGTGACAGCAGCAGAAAAATCCATTCTTGATGGACCTGACCTTTTAAGCCATGTTATGTTTGCATGAAGAATCACCTTAACTTTGTTTTATTAGTGCTGCTATAAAATGACACCACAAATTCTAATTTTGTTGACCTCTTACTCTTGCTAATTATTTTTTTGCAATGTGTATCAGTTGATCAGACATGTAAATGTTTCTCCACGGTTAAAAAGCATTATCGGTTCAGGGCAGCCTACGAAGTCAGTCAAACCTACCAAGCTGTGAAAGTATGAAATTAATTTGAATTTAGATGATATTTTCTGCGTATGAAGAATCGCCTTTCCATCCATATCCAATATTATGGTTTTAATCAAATTCTTTGGCTGACAGCCAGAGACTTCTTAAACTGGAATATTTATGCATTGTGACGTTCACTGTTCATGTAGGAGATCCTAAAACCCAGATATTAAGTTTACAAACTGAAGGTTAACCCATGAGTCTAAGCGAGCCTACACTTGGGGAAATAAACCCTTTATTAAATCGGTTTGTGCTTTCTGTGTTTTTTTCTTAAAATATTAATTCATAAAATACAGTTACAGGACATCCTTATATTTGCATACTGAGAAAGGAATAAGCACATCATTATTTTATGTTTAGGACCACTAAACTTTAAGTAGATGTGAACTTTAGGCCTGCTACACACCTAAGCGATTTATCGCGCGGTTTGAGTCACGCGATATCGCGCAAAACATAGGTTTGCATTGAAGTCAATGGAGGCTGTTCCCACCTTTTGCGGTTTGTCATGCGATAAGGTGCAGGAGCGATTTGACACATTTCCGTGAATGCGGACTAAAAGTGTTGGTTTCATTCTAGCAGACTTGTAAATATCCCACTTTGTTGTCCACTTTAGGTTATTCTAGTATCTGGGAACAAACTTATCAGATACATAGAACCTTCACAACTCACAGAAGAATTTGGTGGAAGCCTTACCTATGACCACATGGACTGGTTGAACAAAAGGCTGGTAAGTAAAGGATGGCTATTTTTTTTACCTTGTTCCTTTGTAGCATTACCTGAGCAAGCATATTAATTTATAACACAGTGTGTCATCAACGGGGTGAACTAAACCTATCAGATATTTTTTAAAGCTGAGACTCAATTTTATTTCTGGAAAAAGTCATGTTGTGAAGCAGGATAATGAAAGCATCAAATTTAAAAATCAATCTACTTTTATACCTGTGGTGCTTTCTTATGGTAGTACAGGCTGTTAATTTGGAAAAAAGTGAACTTTTTAAAACTTGCTCACTGTTCTCCAGATCTGTGAAATGTCAAAAAAGAGTGCCACTGAGTGCAATAGCTAGTAGGAGCAAACAGGTATTAGTAAAATGTGGTAATCACAAGAGAAGCCCTAAGTAGCCCTATGTGCAAAAGTGCCATTACAGTAGAAACTGCACCAAAGTATACTTTTACTCCATCATTAACTTGAACGAGTGACAGCGGCTGCATCTAAGCGGGCAATTTGAGATTCTTCCAGCAGGAATTTGTAGGTTCCGGCCGTAGGAATCACAAATCGCATAGTGTGAATGAGGCCTTAGGTGACACTAGGATAAGTCTATTCTGCAGGGCTCTGTAGTGTCAGCTTCTTAAGCTGGCTGTACTCAACCCAATAAAAGCCCGTGGTGCAACTCTGGCATCTCTAGTAACAGTTAGGTCATGTATAAGTTGGTAACGAGTACTTATGCTCACTGAAAGATACCATTCGTTCCAAGATTTTTTAGCATGCTAAAACTATCTTTCAGGGCTGCCCATTCCCACTATACAATTAACCAGACCAATTATTTAGCAGAACATGTAGGCCATCCGAGGACAGGCAGAGGCCTCAATACCCTGACATTCATGATGAGACATCTGTCTTTCTTTGGTTACTGTACCCTGCAGGAATGGTTAATTGAAACATAGAAAGGAAAATAAGGAAAATAGACAAGTTGTTGACCACAGAGTTACATCTCTAATTTTATGGACAAGTTGAGCAAGAATATTCTTTGATTGTTATGGACAACAGCCCTATTTTGTGCTTTTTTTTTAATTTTCTCCAGTTTTAATAAATCGACCCCTATGTGGGCATACAAATAAGTGTTTGCATTTATCATGAGATACTTCTAATCTTAAGCCACAATAAGCTCTATTTACTGCGGAACTCTTTTTACTGCAGAGATGCATGTAATGCTTTCTCTGCTGAATTTCAGGTATTTGAGAAGTTTACAAAGGAATCCACATCATTGCTGGATGAACTTGCTGTTATCAACAATGGGAGCGATAAGGGAAATCAGAACGAAAAAGACAGGTTTGTGAAACAAACTGATTGTACTTTGCTTGTCCTGTTCAGCTCTCTCATCATAATGGCATTATTAGAAGCCATGTGTGCTGCCTGCCTTTCATAAAAAGAGAGTAAGAGCAGAATGAGGAAGGGTATACGGAAATTTACAATCAGTAAATGTGTTTCTCTATAAAACCCATGGGACTTCCATTTGGCTAAAGCAGTGGCAAGTATGCAACACAGTAGTCTTTTGTTAAATTTTAGTGTGTGTGTGTGTATATAATCTGCCTCATGTAAGTAATGCATTAAAAACCAGATACATTTTAGAAAAGTACTCCCTAGCAAATAACTAATTATTTCCTAGGATGGAACCTGCAGTAAATGTTTGAATGTCACATTCACTGCTCTATAATTATGCCCCTTACTCTCTACATTTTTTTGCTCTGTACTCACTAACTACTGTTAACATAAATGTGCCTTATAGTTTCTTCAAATATACATATGAAAGTTGTCTTTGCCAAATATGTAACCAGTATTTTCGGAAATTGTGCATTTTGAGCCTTGTAGCAAGAGTTTAGGAAGGATTATTTGATGGGCAAAAAGGTAAATAAATGCTTTGTTTGAAAATTCAGGTGTGGAGGAAATTAAGTTGTCTGCTCAGAGCCCTGACCTCAACCGTACTGAACATCTTTGGGATAATTTGAATGTTGATTGTGTGCCAGGTCTTCTTCCTGTCCAACATAAGTACCTGACCTATCAGAATGATTGGACACAAATTCCCACAAATGAAATCTGGTGGAGAGCCCAGAAAGGTGGAGTCTGGAGGCCCATGGATTTGAAAAAGGGATTTCCAACAAAATCATGTTTTATTAGGCACGTGAGGAGGAACTGAAAACAGGACCTCTGCATCAATATTTACTCTTCTTCTACATGGCATTGCTGAGTAGTTCTGAAACAAAAAAAGAAAATAAAAACTTGCCTCTCATTACACTATAGAATATTGTATTTAGGAAGCTGTGGGCATGTAGAAAAGGGAATGGCCTCACATAAATCTATGTCCCATTTTTCCAGTAGACTGGATTTCTTTTTAACAACACATTGAATACTTGGAAAGTGACTGATTCCATATATGTTAACTTGGAGAGCTTATCCAGATCAGAATCATATAGACACACCAGTTCTGTGTCCTAGCCAAACCTGTAAACATAAATACAGAACTTTGCAGTTCTTATTACTATATTAATGAGCACGTATACTGGTATAAATAAAAAGGCAGAAAGTGAACATTTTGTCCCTTTGTTGGAAGCAGAAAAAATGGGCAAGCATAAGGATTTGAACAACTTTGACACCGGGCCTAATTATGATGGCTAGAACACCGGGTCATAGCAACTCCAAAACTGCAGGTCTTGTAGGATGTTCCCAGTCTGCAGTGGTCAGGACCTACCAAAAGTGGTACTAGGAAAGAAAACCAGTGAACCGGCAACAGGGTCATGGGCGGCCAAGGTTCATTGATGCACATTGGGAAACGAAGGCTGGCCCCTGAAGTCTGATACAGTAGAAGAGCTACTGTAGATGAGATTGCTGAAAAAGTTAATGCTGGTTCCATTACAAAGGTGTCTGAACATATAGTGCATCACAGTTCGTTGCGTATGGTGCTGTGTAGCGGCGGACCAGTCAGGGTGCTGGAAAACCTTGGGTACAGCGTTTTAATGTGGATGACACATACCATCTACCTAAACATATTTGCTGACCAAGTACACCCTTTCAAGGAAACAGTATTCCCTGATGGCAGTGGCCTCTTTCAGCAGGATAATGCTCATTGCCACACTGCAATAATGGTTCAAGAATTGTTTGAAGAACACAGCAACGGGTTTAGGGTGTTGACTTATATTTCAAATTCTCCAGATCTATTATCCAATGGAGCATTTGAGAGATGTGCTGTAATAACAAGCCCAATCTATAGAGGCCCCACCTCACAATTTACAGGAATTACAGGATGTGCTACTGACGGCTTGGTGTGATATACCACAGTGTACCTCCAGGGGCTTAGTGGAGTCCATGCCTCAACAGGTCAGGGCTGTTTTTGGCAGCAAAAGGGGACCTACATGATATTAAGTAGGAGGTCATAATGTTAGGGCTGACCAGTGTCGGGTGCATTGATTGCACTCAGTTTGCAAAGCATGCAGGACTTTCAATTGGAAACCCAGCACTGTGCTATGTAAAGTGCCTATTTCAGGTGCAGCTGTCTCAGCAAAGATGGTGGTGGTGGGGAAATATTTATGCCCTTGTGAGTGTGTGTGTAATCTTATTTACACCGGTCTTTCACAGCAGAGCAGTTTTTGTAAAAATACCAGCTACTATTGTTATTATTTAGAACTTAACACCTACTTGAAATTTAATATTTTAAATTTACTTGATTACAGACCTTTTCCATAAAATTCATGTTTATAAATCATATAAATAATATGCATGCAATATTCTTGGTATATTGTCTATAGCTGAACATTTTTATCTGTATAAATAGAGTCTAAATAGAGTCTAAATAGAGTTTAAACTTGATATAGTAGATGTAACTGGTAGGAGCTGATATTCTGCAGTTCAGGAAATGCCCTCAATTTCCACAACAGACTATTGTGATTTAATAACAGCTCTGTCATGTCGTGTGTTCTTCCTGAATCAATCGACAACCACATTCAAGTGTTTTAAATTACACTTGATTCTTTATAACAGATGCATTTAAGGACAAGGTGTATCTTTGAAGGTAAAGTGTTCATTTGTTGATTGAAACTGTACACCGGTGGAGGATGTTGGACTAGGAAGTCTCATATTCGTGCTTGTGCAACCCCTGGAGCATACCTACTAGTACACAAAAACAGGTATCATAGGTGCTGCAAACACATTTCCTGGAAAATTTATATTTTAGTGACCAGTAATTTGTGCGGTTTGTCATTTTATACTGTTATATTTTCACAGATATAGTTCTTACAGAGATTTGTAGATTCTCACTACATTGTCCTTCTGCATCTCAGCAATATGGCTGAACCGCTGCTGAGAAGAAATCCTTTATTGATTAAAGTGTATTTGCCATGATGTTAACTTGCTTAAACTGTGATGGAATGCAGGAACCTAGAGATGCCCACATCTACCTCCAGATCTCTGGGGCATCCAGTAGGCCCTGAAACTGGGGGCTCTCTTTTTTGCAAATTACAGCTTCATAAAGCGAAAGTTGAAGATCTGTTTGTCCCGCCCAAAACATGTGCTTCTCAATTGATCTGTCAATTTAAAGAACATCTATATAGAGCAATGCAGAGGTGCTAGAGGGACAGATTAAAGTGCATCTAAAGCCCAGCCTTTTTTTTGTCATGGCTAAAATAGGGAATGGTAAATCATCTGACCATTTTTTTATCTTTTTGCTGTCTGTCTCCCATTGTGGAGATCTTCCTTCACTTCCTATCTCGACACAATGGGAAGTTGAGAGTAGATCTTTCCAAAGTAAGGAAAATCCTCTCTTAGACCATTTTTTCCCGTTTTCAATCCCAGTGACAATAGTCTCTAGCACAAACAGAGAGAGTGAATCTGCCCAGCAGGACTCTGGCATCTATTTAAGACCTGACAGAGGTATGAATAATTCCCTACTCTTCTCAAAACTAAAACAACAAAAAAATGGCTTATGATACATTTTAATCTTTAAATTTTTAGTTTGAAGAATGGATTTGTATAATGATGTGATGGCCACCAAGGTACAGCACTGCATGAAGGAGAGGAGACAATTTAGAATTATCCCAGTGAAAGATTACCTGAGATTTGCACAAAACATTTTAAGTGCACTGAGACTGAGCCAGTCTTTGTTAATTTCACCCCCCCCACCTCCCCCATGACTTTCTAACTAGGAAGCTTGACTGCCCCCATTAAAAACACATAGGAGCAAGGTATTTACAACAATAACTTATTGATAAAGAGTATTTCCATAGGGCTAACTACATTCACAGGCATATGTAGTAATAATAATTCACATATATACTGAGTGGCCAGATTATTATGACCACCCCATCAGTCCTTCGTTGGGCCACCTTTTGCCTTCAATACTTCGGCGATTTTTCTTGGCATTAACTCCACTAGATGTTGAAAGGTGATGCGAGGAATCTGACACCATGCCTGATGAATAGCACTGCCCAGTTCTGTGAGATTTGATGGTTGTGGAACCAGCTGCCTGATGGCTCTTTCAACTTCGTCCCACAAATGCTCAATTGGATTGAGATCTGGTGATTGTGGGGGCCACCTAAGCAAGGTAAAGTCTCCCTCATGTTCTTGAAACCACTCCTGCACAATACGAGCACCGTGGCATGGCGCATTGTCTTGTTGGAAGAAGCCATCTCCATTGGGATACGCCATCAACATGATAGGATGAACTTGATCAGCAACGATACTTTGGTATGTTGTGCTATTCAGACGTTGTTCCACACGAATTAAAGGGCCCAAATCATGCCAGGAAAACATGCCCCAAACCATAACACTGCCCCCACCAGCTTGAAGGGTTGTACTCATGCATGTGGGGTGCATGCTTTCATGCTGTTCCTGCCAAATTCTCACTCTGCCATCTGCATGATGCAACTGGAAACATGATTCATCGGACCACATGACTTTTTTTCCAATGCTCGACTGTCCAAACCTTGTGTTCCTGTGCGAATTGGAGAGGTTTTATCTTGTTAACTGCAGGCAGCAAAGGTGTTCGAACAGGCCTTCGGCTTCCATATCCCATACGATGCAGTGTACGGTGAACAGTGCGTTCAGAGATCATTTGAGAGGATCACTGATTAAGATCTGCAGTAATTTGATGCACTGTTGCCCTTCTGTTGTCTTGTACCAGTCTTGCCACTCTCCGTTCTGCCCTAACATTGACTAGTCGCTGACGGCCACAATTCGCACGTTCAGACCCAGATTTTCGGCTGACAGTCCAGTCTTTAAACACTTTAACAACAGCTGCTCTTGACCATTTAACGGATTCTGGTGTTTTGCTGATACTCGCTCCATGGCTCCGAGCGCCAACAATCATCCCACGTTCAAAGGCTGTTAAATCGCGTTGTTTACCCATATCTTCAGAAAAAAAAATAACTTCTACTGTCGTGGTAAACAACCTGCTTTCCTATTTATAATGGTCTGGCCTTCTAGCAACTTCAGCGCGAAATTATAGCTAATTTGCCTACAAACGTCAGGTGATCATAATAATTTGGCCACTCAGTGTATACTGTATGTATTTGACTATACAAGACTCTAAATTCTCTTATCACAGTTTGAAGAATCAGTGCTGCGGATAATTATTTTATGCTCAAAATAAAATATCTCATTTATTTTATAATTTTAAGGTCAATGGATTTCAATTATCTTCCCTCTGTTGATCCAGAAACTGTTCTACAAACAGGTAAGATCTATTTCCTGCTCTATTCGAGAATTAACATAGTCAGCTGGTGGTGATGCTGAGCCACGTATGAAAATAGTAGAACCTACACAGCTTTTTATGATTAATATTTTACCTTTTGGTGAAATAATTGAAGGGATAAAATAAATAAGGGATCTGCTGAGATACATAAGAGTCTCTGCTTAGCCTCAGGCTTAGAGGTTTTGTTTGCTGCATCTGTGCAGCCAGACATGTTCTAAACACCTGTTGAGAAGCTTCTCTTAAAAACATGAAAAGTAGCTGAAGGCAACATATGGCGGCCATCTCTTTTCATTGGAAACCACTTGTCTAATGAAGACTCTGCTTCAAAATCATTCTGCAGCTTAGGTTTACTAGGCACACCTCTGTGCTGGGATGAGTGATAAACTCCTGTGCATATGAACAAGAGTTCCTTCATCCCTTCTGGCTAGTCAAGACAGCCATAGACCCTGCACTCGGAAGAAGCCAGGGAGGAGATGTTGGCGCTAGCTAGGAGTGAGAGATGGGGAGTTAAAGTGGACCTGAAGGCTAAACATTTTTTTTAATAGGTTTTGGATAGAGTAAGGGGTGGTTATAACCCCTTTCACAGATCTGAGTGTAACAAGAAGAATGTCTTTAGTCCAAATAAAATCATACACATGCATCAATGAATACGTGGATGCTCCTGTCACACAGTCCAGTGAGTCCGCTCCCCTGAAACAATGGCCAGCAGGCTTCTTTGTCTCCCTCTTTAACTATACCACTGACCACAGTGGATTTAATTAGGAAAAACTGCCTCTCAGGGCTCTGTGACGGGCACGACCACATATACCTTTATGTAAGTGTATGATTTTATGTGGAATAAAGACATTCTTCTTATTACCCTCATCTCTGTGCGCTGTTGCCGTGTCCCATTGGGGGAGATTTCCCTCAATTTCCACAACAGGAAGTGAGAGGAAATCCCTCCAAATACGGGGAAATCCCAGGTTTTCAGCAGGGTCACCAACGCTGGTGTCCCCATTAGAAGATTTCCTTGTATTCCTGTTCTTTTGACAACCAAAAATTTGGGATTTTCTTTTACCTTTAATAACAGTCACCTGGACAAATGGAGAGGGTGACTCTCCCTAATGGAAACACAGACAGCAATAAAAATACTCTATCCAAAACTAACCCCCCAAAAAAGTTTGAGCTTTACTTGTACTTGGATTCCTCTTTAGAGGAGATGCACACCTGAGAAATGGTCAGAGGCATGTTTTATATTGATGCAGTGCTGTTTTGATCATCAGAGGGAGTAATTTACTTTTAATAGAAAAGCTGTCTTGTAATCTTCCTTACTCGTTCTATTATGCACTGCTTTGTAGTGCAGCAATATAGATTAGATTGTCAGTGATGAATAAGGCAGAGGGAGATATCAGACAAAACTATTAAGCCTTTACTGACCAACAGTATGATATTGTATTCAAGCAGTCAGAATCATAGCACAGGCAACGTTACTTATTTATGATTTGTAGTAGTAGAACATGGTTTCCCAGCATTTAAGCTTTGATTTCACATTACAAAGGTTTGAGTTACAATCTCTTCCCAATTGGAGATGTTTGGAGTAAACTGGAAGGGACTATACATTAACTAGAAAATCTTAACTGCTGCTTATCGATCTTTACACCCTTGCTGAGAGAATCAATATTCCATTTAAGAAAGTCTTTCCACTACTTTTTCCTAATGCACTTTTCAAGTTACAGTACTTGTACAAACCATCAATATAAATATTGTTTTAAAGCCACAAATGTCAGGGAAAAGGGCAGCTTTAAATTGTTGAGGTTTTAATGGAAGGGCTGCTGTTGTCTCTACTAGCTCTTAAAACAAAACGACAGTACAGTTTTGTACAGATATTGGGGCCTTTGCCTAGAAAACTAAAATGGTTCCAATACAACAGTTCTTGTAGATTGTATTATTTGTATCATTAGAGCAGGGGTAGGTAACCGCAGCACTCCAGCTGTTGTGGAAAGACAAGTCCCATGAGGCATTACAAGCTACTGGCATGACACCTAGAGGCATGATATTATTTGTTGTTTTGCTACAGCTGGAGTGCCAAAGTTTCCTACCCCTGTGTATGGAGATTGGTGATGATAAGAGTTCCCTGACAGGTGCTGATGTCAGCAAAATGTGTCATAACAGCTACTTCTCTGCTAAAAGCTAGGAGCTGTGAGCAGGTGGGGATTTTGTGCTGTTGAATGGAGGATTTATAAGAAGATAGGAGACTGGGAAATAAGGGGAAGTTTATTCATATGCACTATTTACAGGGCATCTCTGGCTGAACTAGTAAATACAAAGTTGAAATGTTAAAATCTACCAATAGATTTGTAAAGTCATGCATTTGGTATTTTGATCACCCTCTCCTGCTGTGCTTACTATACTTTTCAGACCCAGCAAAGGTGTCGGCTGCTTCTTAGTGCCACACCTTCTACCTGCTCTTTGGGATAAACCACAAACCACAATCCTGATTTAAAGTAGAACTTAAGCCGAAACCTTTTTTTTTTTTTTTTTTTTTAATAGAGTAAGGAAGGACTTTTATCATCTGTCAGTTTTTTCCATCTGTATCCCATTTTGGGGATTTCCAATCACTTCCTTTCCACTAGGCATAGCAAGAAGTGAGAGGAAATCGCTCCAAAGTGGTGGAAATCAATGGTGGTCAGCAGAGTCAACAGGACTAGTGTCCCCATTGGAAGATTTCCTATCTATTACTGTTCTGTTGACAACCCATAATTTGGGATTTTCTTTCACTTTCAGTCATTAAAAATGATCAAGGCAAACAGAGGCTGAACCTCCCTAACCAGGACACAGGCAGCAATGAAAACCTGAGAGGTGTCTTAATCCCTCTCCACTCTATCCGAAACAAAAACAAACAAAAAATGTCCCCAGTTACATTTTAAATGATCAGCTGGTATGTTATAAATTGATGTGCAGAATTGTGGTAATTTTGTATGGTGAGCATAAATTATATTTATGGGCATTTTTGGGGTAGAGTAGGGTTAAGACCCCTGTGACATTTGTAATTGCTTTTTGTGCCCTTTCTGGGGAAATTCACCCTTTCTATTTGTCCTGCTGTTCCCCATGGTCCCCGTGTGTGTTGTAAAGCAGTCACCGCTCCAAGCTCGCCTCTGTGATGGGCTACAATCTTAATACAAATTAGTAAACCAAACGTGAAATTGTAGTCCATCACAGGATTAAGAGGCCAAGTAGCAGCCAGATGCTGCTAATCAAATGCCTTTGATTCATTGATCATCGGCAAGAATGACCACCTCTATAAAAGCCAAAGTTTTAGCTGTTTGCTGATCTGGAGCATGCAGGTGTATGTTAACACAATGTCAAGGAGGCAAGACATTAGCAATGATCTTAGAGAAGCAATTGTTGCTGCCCATCAGTCTGGGAAGGGTTATAGGGCCATTTCCAAACAATTTAAAGTCCATCATTCTAGAGTGAGGGAGATTTTTCATAAGTGGAAAAAATTCAAGACAGTTGCCAATCTACCCAGCAGTGGGCATCCCAGCAAATTCACCCCAAAGTCAGTCTGTGCCATCCTCAGAGAAACTTCAAAAAAGCGTTACATCTTAGACTCTACGGGCCTCAGTTAGCATGTTAAAGTTCATGACCGTACAATTAGAAAAAGACTGAAGAAATATGGTTTGTTTGGAAGGGTTGCCAGGTGAAAGCTTCTTATCTGGCAGCATGGCTTAGGTTTGCAAAGTTGCCTCTGGACAAACCAGAAGACTTCTGGAACAATGTCCTTTGGACAGACAAGACCAAAGTGGAGATGTTTCACCATAATGCTCAGCACTAGAGCTGACAAGCACAGTGGTGGAGGGGTGATAGTTTGGGCTTGTTTTGCAGCCACAGGACCTGGGCACCTTGCTGTCATTGGGTTGGCCATAAACTCCTCTCTGTACCAAAGTATTCTAGAATCAAATGTAAGGCCATCTGTCCAATAGCTAAAGCTTGGCCGAAATTTGGTCATGCAACCAGGCAATGATCCCAAACACACCAGCAAATCTACAACAGAATGGCTAGAAAAGACTCAAGGTGTTGCAATGGCCCAATCAAAGGACAGACCTCAGCTCTATTGAAATGCTGTGGCGGGACCTTAAGAGAGCTGTGCATAAACAAATAGCCACAAACATTGTAAAGAAATAAATTCCTCCACAACGATGTGAGAGACTGATAGTCATAGAGAAAATTACTACTTTAAGTCATTGCTGCTAAAGGTGGTTCTACAAGCTATTTAAAGGAGAACTATGAGGTGAGTGCTTTTCACTCACCTCATAGTTCTAGCCGACCTGTGACAATGAGACTGTCACAGGTCGGCTCAGTAGATTGGCAGGTGAGCGAACACATACCGGCATTCGCTCACCTCTCGATCCTGTCACGGCTCTCTGCCGTGACGGGACAGCGCTGACTGGCGGGGGGGGCGGGGACAGCTGGCTCTGACTCTGCCTCTAGATAGGCGGATCCCGGCACAATTGTCAGGATCCGCTTCAGCTGCGGCGTCTCAGTATACCGCAAGCTACAGCTCACGGTATACTGAGCCTAGGGTGACGGGAGGACGCTAGTTTGTTTCCTCCCATTACCCTAAGGAGAACTATGGGGAAAAGCCTTAACCCCATAGTTCTCCTTTTAATCATAAGGTGTACTTAGTTTTTCACACTTGGCTTCTCTATTTTGGCTTTTTTTGTAAAGTAATGACGGGGTGTAATATGTGCTGTTGTATATACCTAATATTAAGACCTGCTAAGGACCAGATGATTTTTATTATGTCCTAATACTTAAAACCATAGAATTCAAAAAGGGTGTACTTTTTTTTCACATGACTGTATATGAGCAATAATTCTCTTGAATTTTAATCCAAGGTTTTTTTTTGCTTTTGCACACAAGTTTTCCTGCATGTTAATGTGTGGTACATTGTGCATGGGCAATGTATGCATGTTGTGTTGCGTTGCGTTGCCAGTGAATTTCAGTAGCACCCCAGTGCACATGCATTGGCAAAAAAGCACTCCTGAACATCGGCACACCAGAACACCTGTGCTTTTTTTTGTTTGTTTTTTTGGTCCATGGACATTTTGGATACAGTTAGCGGGAGAGGCAGAACTTTTGGATACAGTTAGGGTTTGAATCTGTTGTTTGTGCAGATAGAAACAGGTTTTCTCTGTTTGTCTTGTAAATGATTTAATCCATCTTGGCCAGAATCCTGATCAGTTACCCATCCACTGCTGTTGAAAAGCACAAAGACTAAAAATGAACCACATATTCCAATGGAAAGTCGGTGCCCCAGCATGAGCAGTGTACTATTCACTTATTGAGTGGAGACTAGTGATGGGCTCGGGCGTGTTTGCAGCCAGTGGCGGACCTAAGGAACAAAGGGCCCTGGTGCAAGATTTTTTTTTTGCCCCCCCCAAAAAACAATCACAAACACATCGCTCTTCTCCCGCAGCGCTTGGCCGGCTGTCACTTTCTCTCCTCCCCGCTGGGACACAGAGCAGCGCCCAATGGGGAGGAAAGAAAACAGGGATGCGCTGCTGTATCAGCAGAAAAATTGCACTTTTGGCATTTAGCCAAAAGTGCCAATTGCGCCCGATATCTTTTGGCAGCCGATATATCAGTGCAACCCTAATATTTACAGCAATGCAGAATGGCACAGGCTATAGAGGACTACACATCCCAGCAATACTTTATATAACAATAGCATTTCTGTATAAAGTACTGCTGAGATTTGTAGTCCTCTATAGAGGGTCCCATTGTGCATTGCTGCAACAATTTTATACAACATTAGGCTACAAATAATAATTATTTTAATTAATTATTTACCCTTACCTCTTCTGTTTGCTGGGTCCTCACTGCCGATTTGCAGCACCACGTGCCAAGCCCGGTCCGCAGCTGCAGAGACCGGGAAAGGTCTCAGTACCTGTGATTGGCGCTGTCGGCTGTCAGCTTCCTGACGGGCTCTCCATCACTAGTGGAGACCGCTGTGTGTATGCTTGGGAGTAGCTGAACCCAACAGTGAAGATTTTCATGAAGAGGCTGTGCTGCACTGATGAGGCTGTAAAGCAAAAAGCTCTGCATGGCTTGGACAAGTCAGTATATAACTTGTTAGGCATGGTGGGAGAAGGCGTCAGAGGTCAACTAATAATAAGGCCTTTCACATATGGGCTATAGCATTTAAGAACTGTGTGTACAGCAAGCTTTTTGAAGCTGGGTGAAACCTGTTAGCAGCTTCTGAGAAGTAACAGTCCACACGCCTCTGAACATCACTGTTTTGAAGCACCCTCTAAGATCCAATATAGGGATTTAAACGGCTTCAAGCTGTTTGTAAAACCTTGTTGTACACGCTGATCTTTCATATACTGAAGGCCATATGTACAAGGCCTAAAAGTGCTTTTACCCTTTAGGGCTTGTTCACACGACGTCCGGATTCTGTCAGGACCAGATCCGTGCGCTCATGCACCCAAAATGTATCCCTGTGTGTTTTATGGGCTACAGTTCTCATGTGCGCAGTCCGTGAGGACAGAGAAAATTATTATTATTATTATACAGGATTTATATAGCGCCAACGGTTTGCGCAGTGCTTTACAATATAAGGAGGACATTACAATCACAATACAATTCAAGTCAAGATGGTAAGGAGTGCCCTGCCCGTGAGGGCTTACAATCTAAAAATACTGCACGTCACATTTTGTCCAGAAGCACGTCAAAAATGCACTGCACTGCAGCTAACATACTGACAGCCCCACTCCAGCAACAAAAATATATATATATTTTTTTATTGGAACGCGTCAAAAACGCAAAGCTCCACGTCTGCAGATCTGCTCCGGACATCGTGTGAACAAGCCCTTAAAGCGGACCTTTACCCATATCTTTAAAATAACGACAAACACATCTTTAGAAATGTTTAGTAATAACAATCTACAAACACACACTTCTAGATAATTGCCGGTTTTGTATTCTTTGCATACCTTAGTTCTCTTTTTCTTCCCAGTCTTCTTACAGTGGCCATGATTATTAAGGGCAGATTACTAGCTCTTCTATTACTTCCTGGATTTCTGACACGTGACTAGACATGTGACTAGGACATGTGTCTATGCACATCATCTCAGAGGAGGAAAATTTCCCTTTCCCTCATGAGATTACAGATGAGATTTCCCAGCAATGCTCTGCTGATGACAAAGCAATCCCAGTGTGCATTGCTTTGCCAAATGGAAGTAATTTTGCCCTTTTCAAAGCAGGAAGTTAACGCTCTGCAAGTGTAAGTATTTCAAAATCGCAGCATTTTACACCTGACATGTCTATGTTGTTATTCATCATACATAGAGGAATGTATTGGTAGAATTAGATTTTTGAGTGTAAAGGTCTGCTTTAAGAACTATCATTAGTGTCTTGGTTACTGCTCTGAATAATGGTCCTATAACTCTGGTCACTGAGTTGCATTTGTGCCGTATTCCTTCTTTTTTTTTCTTTTCCAAAAGTTTTCCTTTTTTTGTTTAACAACGTTTTTAGTGATGTACAACATTTTATGTATTTTTTTTTTAACTTATTTTCTTATAACCCTGACTGCAGCTTCTCTGAAACTTTTTATCCTGGACTTATTTCAGTAGTTCTTGATCTTCATGAAGCTGTTTGTTTAGATATCTTGTCTTGCAAGCTCTTGGCTCTTTAGAATCTTGTGCACTTATTTTGAACCTTTATTTGCACACAGGGTGACTTCATTCAGGTAATTATGTGGCATATGAAGACAGTTTGTAGCACCAGAACATATTTGGGAGTTCACATCAAAAAGGGGGAAACATTTATGCATTCAAGACAGTTTCGGTTGTATTCGTAAATTGTTTGGGGAACGATATAGATTTTTTCCTGGTCAACATTAAAGACTTGTGGTGATCAATAACATAAAATACCAATTTTATTTCCAGACTTTAACACTATAAAATGCGGAAAAGTTCAATTGGACATGGGTACTGTCTGACTGGTTCTCTTTTAGTAGTTGTGTTCAAAGATGCAATTTGATGAAGGGGGGTAATCTGCACTCTGGAATATGTCTTTTGTAGTTATAAGAAATGTCACTTGGTTAGGTTGTACTGACAGAGCTGCTTATCCTTGGAAGTCTTAATCCAAGTCTGCATGCGTCAGAGGTACAGCAGAGAAACGTGAGTCTGTCAGTGCCAAGTCAGCCACATGACATTACTAGCAGCAGCAGATACGCAATGGATTTAACTCCATGTCGGTTCTTCTCGCAGAATATCTATTCATGAACAATATACCTAGCTAAATTATCATTTATGTAAAACTAGGGAATGGATGGGAGGGGAAAGTGAGCAGAAAGTAAGACACATAAGCACTTATGAATTGATGCAATGTTTTAATAAAGCACTAACTCTGCACACAAAGAAAATGTTTTTTCTTGTACTAATACAGAGTTTGACTCATTGCCAGTATTTAATGCAGTTTGAGTTGGGTCCTTGGCAATAACCCCCCCAACCCACCTCTTCCTTCCCATGCCTTGCCTCATCATGACAGCCGGGACTTAGTAGATTGTACACATTAGACTTAAAGTGACATTAAACCCTCAGATTTTTTTTACATAAACCAATACTGTAATGTGTGCCTTACTGTAATCCATGGTTGTTTCCCTTCTCTTTGCTGCTCTTCCTTTTAAATCCTCATGTCTTCTCATGCTTGGGAAGAACTTCCCTTTTCAGCTCAGGGCCTCTTCCTGTAGTGCTGGCTCAGATTACAAGCCTATACAAACGGATACACAGACACCGTGTATCCATTCTGGAGACAAGGCAGTCTGCTGCAAAACAGAAGTTCTGCCCAGCATGAGAACAGATACAGATTTAAAAGGAAGAGCAGCAAAGAGAAGGGAAACAACCTTGGATTACAGTAAGGCACACATTACAGTATTGTTTTATGTTAAAAAATCTGAGGGTTTAATGTCACTTTAATTCACAAAGCATTAACACAAAGATTCAGATCTCTGATTTAGCAATTTGACTGCAATTTTGAAACTTCATTGGGCCTAGCTCAAAATAACTCACTTTTTCCGAAATACGTATGTGTATACTGGTTTGTTAGCTTTGTGAAGTAAGTCTAATATGAGAAAAGAAAGTTTTCAAATATGTTGCCCCTACAGTATTGTTGATTCGGGCATTCAGGTTTATTTCCCTTTAAATAACCTCACCAGGTTTTGAACCACCTCACGCTGTTATTTATGAGACTAGCAATTTTTAGGACTTTGGAATACACCCTCTTCAACATATGGGCACGCTAAGCTATGTAGAATACAATAGCATTGGAAAACCCTGGCAGTAGTATGGTGTTTCCAGTCCTTGGAATATACAATCTGAAACCATACACAGTAGTTTAATTGGCTTCTACTTACTTTTTCCATTGATCCAGAATGCGTATTGAGAAAGTATGTTTTTGTTGGGCTGCTGTACGGATATTAGATAATATCAGGGGACCTTAAAACCTTGAGCACAAAAGGCAATT